GGTGCATTACAGGAAGTTTTGTTGGTTTTCTGAGGCAGTGTATAACAGGGGTTGGTTCATCATGAACTATATGAAATATTGGTACATTTTTTTCCAGAAAAAAAAAGATTAGGTTAATCATAGATGGTGCTGCCACAGGATTGCTGGCATTTTCCCTTGTCACTTTCTTTTATTCTTACTGTCCATACTGGTCGCCATACTGTCTCTGAGAACCTCATCTACTTCCACGGCTTGAACTACTACCTGCATACTGACCAAACCAACATATCCAGCTCAGATCTCATGTCTTGGAGGCGGATTTTTTATAATAACACAACTAGCTACAATGATGTATTTTCCACATCAACCTAACTTTTCTTTTTCCAGGATTTTTACTGTTGGTATATCATGCATTTATATTATCTGTTTATTATTATAATCATTTATTATTATCCTCTATTTAAAGTGTAGTGGGGCATGCATGATACAGCCAGGCATATGACAATACAGAGGTAATATAGAGAGGCTAGAAAAACATGATCACTCAAACCAGAAGCCAAGGCTTGATTCTAGATCCTTCTCACGCACGAGACCCATATCTGATGCTCAGCAACTCCTGACTTCCTCAGAGCCATGCCTTCCCAATTTTTGGATTTCAGCTCATTTTTCTCTACCCCAGACAGGCGTCTTGGATAGTAGCAGTGGAGTAGGCAATTAAGGGGGAGAATCCAAGAGGCATTAAGAAAGAGAAGGAAATTAAAAGAATTGATGAACAAGCATCAAAATGTAGAACTTAAAGAATAGGAGAAAAAAAATCATACAGTAGAAAGTATTTTTCAGGAAAAAAATATGGGGGACATAAACTTGAGAAGAAACATGTTTAGTGGGCAAGGAAAGGAAGAAGACCCAACACTAAAGATAAAGAAGAACCTCTGACACTATGGAAGAACAAGAAGTCAGGGTCATGGAGAAGAGAAAAGAATCTCAAGGCATGCAAGGACATCCATAACTGGCCACGTGGAATTTGAGCTGTTTTATTTATGGTCGAGTCAGAAGCAGATTCTTGAGAGGTCAGGAAGTAGTCATTGTATAAAAATGAAAGGCCTGGAGTGTATACCAGAAATCGGGCCATGTTCACGCTTTTCTGTGGAAAAGAGATTCTGAAGGTTGCATGGCGGTGGTACATTGAAAGGAGTTTTAGTTTTCCCTGCTTCTTAGTCCTCTTCATCTCCCAACCTATTAACACTGGAGTGTGCCAGGTCCCAGTTCTTGTCCTCTTTCCAGCTTTATTCACCCCCTTGGTGATCTCACTACCCTCATTGCTTTAAATACATTCTCTAAAGCTGATGACTCTTCCATTTCTATCTCTTGCCCAGACGTCTCCTCTTAACTCCAGACTTGTATATGCAATGTTGGAGTCTGATATGGCCCAAATCTAGAGGTCTTTGTCCTACACCTTCTCTCATCCCCTACATCCAATCTATCATCAGATCCTGTTGGTTTGGTTTTTCCAACCCTATGCAGAAACTGACTGCTTCTCATCACCTCCCCTACTACCATCCTGGTCCAAATCCCATCAGCTTTCTCACCTGGACTATTTTAATAGCTCCCTAGCTGGCCTGTCAGCTTCACTCTTCCTCCTTCCACCTTATTCTCTACACGGTGTCTTGAATGTTCCTCTTAAAAAGTTAGTCAGATCTTGTCACTCTTCTGCTCAAAACCCATGAACACCTTCCCATCTCACTGAGGTCATGACTAAAACCTCACTCTTTCAGGCAGATCTTTCTGGAGCATCAAATTTAAAATTGCAACCTATCTCTTTCACTTCCTCTTCTCTTTCCTGGCTTGGTGTTTTCCCCCCAAAACCTGTCACCATCTAACATGAAATACTTTTTCCTTATTTATCTTGTCTATTGCCTGTCTCCTTTCACCCAAATTAGACCCATGATTCAGGAATTTTTATTTCTTTAGTTCAATGACCAGAGAGTTCCTGGCACTCAGAACGTGTTCATCACATACATAAGTACATTATAAGAAATCACACAAATAAATGAAAGGCAAAATATTTTGCAGGATGACTGGGTTTCACATCTGGCGTTATGCCTCAAGAAAAGTTCATATTTCACTAATGTAGAAATTTAGGAAGTTCTGTTACATATTGGGAAATAAAAGGTTTTTCTTTGAATTATGTGTTAACAGGAAACTGAAACAAAATATATTATCCCCAATGTTCCCATTTTGCCTGGACGGTATTCCTTAGAGTTACTAGATTACTTCAGTTCTTTACTCTGCTTATTATCATTGTAATTTTTTTAGTAATGTTAGAGAACATACACATGCAATGTTTTGTTAGCAGCCAGTGGACAGTTCACACAATTCAAATGAACCTTTAAATTTCACTCCCAAAGTTAAGAGAAAAAGCAATTTCACGTAAAGTTACAATTCTTACCAAAAGTCAATGCACTGACAAAGCATTGAGAAATCTTTTGAGTTAGGATAATCTATTATAAGCACGTTCTCATGAGAAGTGAAACACATCTCTGCAATATCAGCTTTTTATAAAGTGGGTGAAAAGTTTACAGAAGCTCCAGCAGGAAAACTGTAATGAAAAAATTTCAGGGTAAACTTGCTTGGAAACATAACCTTTATTTTCTCCTGTTTTTATTATAAAAACTTTATAACCATATTACAGATAATTGGGACAAAATTTCTATCATTCTCATCACCCTAATATAAGAACAAATGCCTTCATTTTTCATATGAAATTTGTCTTCCTACATACGTATCCATGTTACATAGCTGATATGATAATGTACATTATCATTTGGTCTTATACATTTCCCTTAAAATCATGTTAATATTTTTACACTTCAAACGATTTTTTCAAATTTGAAAGGATGGGTTACATAATAATTCATCAAATATGTGTATCTTATTTATGTAACCATTTTCCCATAGTGTAATTCTTTTTTTAAAACTTTTCTCCTCTTCTTTAGAGGCAATGTTTTACTAATATAGATGTTGATGTCATATAGTTTCATAATTTAGCTTTCTTCTTATGAAATGTTTCTTTGCAATAATTTACCATTTGTTGAACCACCAAGTGACAGGAAAACTATTTTAAACTTCTTAGTATCTACTGTCTGACCACTTCTTAAAAAGATTGTACAAATTTACAAAGATACCAGTCATAAATGAGTATGGCAGTTTTAAACCAAATTCACCACTATTCAGTAATAATTATTCAGCAGCAATTATTTTAGAGTCATTTAGATTTTGATAAGAGTTAAATGATAACTCAAAGTGGCTTTCTTTTGCATTTTTTATTAGTGTGGAAGAGATATTTCCATGTCATTGTTTATTATTTATTTTTCTTCTTGAGTTTTTTTTTTTATTTATATCAATAGCTTATACATCCCCAGGGGATCTTTCTTTATATAGATATGAAAATTCTTTATATGTAATAAATATTTGCCACACATTCTTTCTTCTAAGACTGTTCCCTATTCAGATTTATCATCCAACTCTTAAGGTTAATTTCATCTTTACGATTTGGGGTAAATAATAACTTTGTAACTTTCCTTATTATTTAAAAACAGAGACTTTGATTTTATACGAACAGTTAAAAATACATATGAAATGAAAATAAAATTAACTTATTTGTGAAGCCAATAGCTCTACACTTAAGGAGTATATCCACAGGAGGGATTAAGATACGAAATGGAAACATCCATATGGTGCTTGATGCTACTCATTCTCATCCTGAGTGGAGAAGAAGAAAGAGCATCAGTTTTTTAATCTGAAGTCTGGATTTGAATGTTGACTGTGCTATTTCCTAGCTATGTGATCTTTGGCAAATATTTTACTTTATTTGACTGCAATTTCTTTATATACATAAAATATGATTACAATATCAATTTAAAGAATTATTATGAAGATTAAAAATAATTTTTGTAAATTGCCTGGTACACAGACAACTGTCAATAAATGAATCACCATTATTTTAAAATACCAACTTTTTCGCAAGGACTTTTAAAATTTTATCCTCAAAGCAGCTCCATGAAGTACACAGCAGTATTTTCTCCATTTTACAAGGTTAGGAAACCAAGACCTAAAATGTTTAAGTAACTAGTTAATGTTACACATCTAGGGTCTAGGGGAGCTGGGATTTGAATGTAGGCAGCATACTTCCGGAATATCAGCTCCTAACTACTACATAAGATATTTATAATCTCATTCTATGACTTTTCTGTCACTATTCTTACATGGCCAATGAGAATGCTAACCTCATTATATGCTGTGTAAATCTTACCCATTCTTCAAGATGAACCTAAATTCTAACATCTCCATGAAGATTTTTTTAATAGTCCTTTTTCCCCTTGAAGTAATTTTGGCCTCCCTTCCGTTCCCACGGTACTTATCTATAGAACTTTCACACTACTTAAGGTGCTCAAATTATATTATGCCTATTTGTCTTAGATCATGAACTTCCTGAAGACCAAGACTGTATTTTATTTTTTGTGTCCTTTCCCTACATCTAGTTCAGTGAAGTGCATATAGTAAATGCCCAGCTAATATTTGCTATATGAGTAAGTAAAGGTAATAAAAGGTATTAGGTTAAAGCCAAAACTATTATGTGAAAAGTAAGGAAATAGATTGGTTAAAATGTATAATCATATTTTGAATAAAGCCAATAATTTTTTAACAAAATATGCACAATTATATGCCAAAAATTTCTTGCTACTTCAGCCAACAAATTATTTAATATATTTCATATATATTTATGCACACAAGTATATTTTTCACTCACAGAAAACCTTGCAGAAATCTCTATTTTTTATCATCAAAATAACCAAATCAAATTATTAGTGATAGGATAAAAAGTTCTACCAGAAATTATTGATTTTATATATATATTTATATATATCACATACACACACACAGAGACACACAGACATGGAGTAGACGCATATACTCAATGGAAGCGATTTTGGTAAAACATTAAAATGAACTTCTTTTACCGTTTGTCCTGAAGACAGCAGCACTGATTTATCCACTTCCCTCTCTTTACAAATGAAACCTAAAATCTTTATCACATAGTATTTCAGCATCTGGTACATGAAGAAAGGAAATGACACATTTGTGTGTTGAAAATCTTTCTTAACAATGTGTTTCAATAGGACTCTCATCAATGCACAAGTTTGCAAAATCTAAATTTGCCAGATAACTCATTCCTCTTTCCATCTAGGATATCATAAAAGAAAAAGAGAAGTAAAATTAAAAAGAAATGAGGGTTATTGTAACAGCATACATAATATACGGCAGATTAATCTTTCCCTTTTTATAAGATATGCATGCCTCCTTTAACACACTCACAATCTATTATCATCTATTAATCTCATTATCTTCTATTAATTTGCATTATCTCCTCTTTCATCTTATATAACATTGAAGAAAGACTCCATGTCTAAGTGATTTATTTTTCTTCACTCTTTTTCCCATATCTTTTCTCTAGCTTCAAACACAAAACACATGAGGAAAGGATATAGATGCCTACCAAGTAAAATTAATAATCCAATAATGCTTATTTCAGCTCTATGTGTACTGATGTTGCATTATCTCTAGACCTCTTTCGAGCACCTAACAACTTGTTATTTTCCCCGGAATAGAGCGGAGGAAAGGGCTCTCAGGCAGGGGTCAGAGGATAGGAATGCCTTTCACCTTCCACAACCCTGTCAGAGTTTTACACTTTTCATCTCATTCAAGTTCCAGTAGAACACATATAAAAAACACACAACATTACATTAATGAGCTAAGTTTTAGAGCTAATTCTTCAGGGGGAAGGCATTTAGTTTATATTCCATAGGCACTTCTCGGTGCTCTAAAGAGGGAGAGATCGTACTGAAAGATGGCCGCAATGGTCTTGCCATGCCCATGGGCACCACGGAACACTCTCTCTCAGAAGACAGTATGTCTGGTAGAAAGAATGCAGGAACAGTGCACTTTATTTGAGAGACAGAAAGTAACAGTATCACACAGCCATTCTTAAAGGCTAATAGTAAAAGTAACAGAGGAATTGAAGCCAACAGCACAAGTGCTAGCCAGGCAGCTGTAGACAAGAGGGAGGATCCAGGACGGGACAGAAGTGGATCTAGGTTGGACCAGCATGAAAGCTATTAGGCTATTCCTTAACTACACTAGTTGAAATTTATCACCAAATTCTCAGTGAAGAGGAACTGGAGACTAACACCAGAGACTGGAGACTATTTCCTTTATAGTTTGTATATACATCTTATTATAGAATATGGTCCTTTTGTTGTCTTTAAAAACTCCAGAGTTTAAGAACTCCTTTGTACATTGTTAAATTTGGATATTCCTGTTAAGACTACATGATTAGAGAAGTCTGACTCTGGGAATAATAAGCTAAGACACCAACTTGCCAAAATTGTATCTTAATGAGGTTTATTCCTGTCAGGGCTATATTTCTAGGATATCTTTGTAATATTGTTATGTATATACCTTTACTTCCACAATGCTAACCACTTCTCTATTTGATTACTTCCACATTCTTCAGCCAATCTAAACATTCATGGAAAAAAAAAATCTCTCTAGGGGCCGGCCCAGTGGTGTAGCGGTTAAGTGCACACGCTCTGCTGCGGCAGCCCAGGGATCGCAGGTTCGGATCCTGGGTGCGGAACAATGCACCGCTTGTCAAGCCATACTGTGGCGGCATCCCATATAAAGTAGAGGAAGATGAGCGTGGATGTTAGCCCAGGGCCAGTCTTCCTCAGCAAAAAGAAGAGGATTGGCAACAGACGTTAGCTCAGGGCTAATCTTCCTCACCAAAAAAAAAAAAAAAAACCACCTCTCTATGTGTATGTGTGTGTGTGTGTGTATATATATATACACACACATATACATATACATATATATTATATTATATTACATGAGATTATCTGTTAGGTATGATTGTAAGATGCCTTTCCAGGGAATCAAGTAGAAAATATTCAGGTCAAGCTAATGATTATTTGAAAGAACAGAGGGAATGTCTAAAAAGTTGGGACTTCATTGTTTCATTTCATTTTACAGCAGCTTTGTCAGGTCATTTTCCTGATTAAGAAATTGAGCCTTAGAGATATGAAGAAAACGTGTCAGGATTGTAGACCTATGAGTCATCAGAACTGGTATTCAAACCCAATTAAGTCTGATTTCAAAACTTGGCAAAATATACTTTGTTTCAATCTGAGATCAGTCGTATGTATTATCAGGGGTCTTTATCACAAATGTTATATTGAAAGCACACCACAAAAAAGGGCACATTCCAGATCATCTGAACGAATAGTGGCTTTACTATCAGTTACTGCCACGGGATTCTGACGACTTGGTTTCTGTTGCTTATGGATAGATGTGTCCAGAGTGGTGATTCTATAACAGTATGCCCAGTGTTCAAATAAAGTTTCACAATCGAATAGAGAAATGGGTTGGAAAAAGTGACTTCAGTCTCATAGGGCGCATTGTGGTAGAGGCATGCCTGCTGAACTCAAAGGAAGATATATTTTACACTCATTAAGAGATACTTATGCATGTCTAAATGAACAGGTCGTTAGTTATATACGGTATATAACACAACATATTTATGTGATAAATTTGCAAAGATAACATTTTTTCATATTCTGAACTCAAAGCATTAATTAGATAGTGATTTAAATGCCAGTTTTAATAATGTAATGGGCACATCTCTCCATGTGAACATAATGCATTTATAAGACTAGCAAAGCATACCTCACCAAAATTGATATTGAAAATTGCATTCTAGCAGAGCTTTTGTTTGATGGTCATAAATAGAAAAAAAGAAAAACCTTGATGTTATCGGTGACATTTTTTTGTAACCTTATATGAACAGAAGGTTCTTATATGAGTATTATTCAAGTTAAAATACAGAAACAAAGTGGAGAATCAGAGCTAACCAGTATCTTCCTTTATTAAACCTATTAAAAATTTTTTGGTTCAGCCACACAATCTTAAATTGATAATATTGATTAAAATTTTAGTATTTTTGTAGGATTTTTGAATTTAATTTATAAATGCATTATATTTCAAAAGTTGGTTAAGAACTATAGACCTATAGAATTTAAGTCTAAATTTATGTTTCTATGTTTTAACATAAAATAATATAGTATCAACACTCAGTGGGGTGGAGGGGCCAATATGTTTATTTTCCTTTGAGAAACAATGCACTTTACCATACTGTCAGTTGTTAAAAGAAAATGCATAGAATACTTTTAGTTCTAGCCCCGACATCTAAAGAGCTTGTAAATCGTCACTCGTGTCCCTATAACAAGAAAAAAGCTGAACAAACTGAAAGTCAATGACTTTTCTTAGAGCCATCAGAGAATTGAGATCTCAGGGTAAACTGCTACCCCAATTTGAGAGAGGTGAATACAGACTCACAGCTGAGATCAGCTTACCTGGAGCAGAAGCCACTGGAGCCTTAAACTGGTGAGAAGACTTAAATGGCAATTTTGATGAATTGCCGGAAGCTGAGTGAGGACTAATGTGAGAAAGAGAGACTCCTGGGGGCTGCAGTTTTTGGGGGACCCCAAACTTTCCTGGGCTTTACCTCCAGGAATCCTACCAGGTTCTTACAGTGAAGAGCCAAGAGAAATCACCAGATGCCTCTGGCAGAGGGAGGGGAAAATAGCAATTTTTAAAGACACTCAGAGCATTCTCCATAATAAAGGCTTACTCTCCAGTGAAAAGACTTCACCAAGCCTTATCTCACCTAGGCAGCTGAAAGGCAATTTCCAACTCCAGCTTTCTCCCTGTCCGATTTAAGGAGGGGAGAGGGGAGCTGAGAAACATTTGAGAAGGTCATAGTCCAGGGACATGGGCTCACTAAAAAACTAGGATTTAATCATAAGATTCCAGAACTCTTCCCCTCCCCTGCACCTTACCACCCCATCAACAGGCCCCCAGTATGACAACAGTGGATTACAGCTGAAAGAGCTGCAAGGGTCTTTTTTAAGGGATGTTTGTAGGGAAACCCAGACAACTGAGGAGACAAAAACAAGGACACTAGAGGAAAGTTTAGCCTCTGACAGCTACAGCAAACATCAAACGCAGCCAGGTTATCATAAAACCTCACACTGCAGGCCTATTTACCTCAGTTCTCATTACCTGATATGTCATCTCTAGCTTTCAACCCAAAATTACAAGGCATGCTGAAAGGCAAGAAAGTGTATCTCAGGCCCTAAAAGTCACTTTCCTTGGAGAGTTAGGGAAGTGGAGGGGTAGAGTATGGATGTAATACCAGTGACTCATTTCCTTGCAAGTTCAGCTGTCTCCCCAAAGGAACACTAACGATTCCCCCTTTCCTCGTGACTCATGTCTTCATAAAAAGGCACAAAAATGCCAGTTAAGAGAAAAAGTGAATGTGAGCTCATTTTTAAGTGATATTTTAAAAACGTGAATGCACATTGTACTGAGTTTAGGGAAGTGAGACTTCAGAATTAAAGCGGCAGACCCATGTAGTTTAAATAGGCTTAAAAATGGTAAAAGTGTTAATTAATTTAAGCCTGAGCAAAATTCATTAAGTAAATTCTTACCCAGAAGTCTCCTGGAATAATCATGGGATGTCAGGCTAGGGGCTCAAAAAGAGAACAGGACTAAGACCATAGCCAAGGATATTGTAGTGAGGTGGATAAAATTTACTTTATGGCAATTTCACACGCTCCATATCCTTTTCTTCTCATAGCAAAACCTCTTCATTTTAAAATGAGAGAACTTAAAGACTCTTCCAAAAAATTATCTAGGGTCACCTGGCCAGTGACAGAGCATGAACTAGAATCTATACTCCATGATGTTCTCTCCACTAGGCCGCATGGATCCTCAGATTTTGTGAACATACGTAATTGCTTATTCTGTATATCCCCATTTTCCCCCATAATACCTTCAGAAGCTACTGCTGAATTTCCAGGAGCTCATTGAAAGCTCAAATCTCTCTTGCTGTTTGAACTGCCTGCAATGGCTTTCAGAGAATCAAGGGTGCATTCTCTTTTACCTTCCACTTGAGAGGACCAGTCATTTGCAAACACCGACCAGGAACCTTGTGGGGAAGGTGATTCTGAGCAGTGTATTTGCTGGCATCTCCTCTAGGGCACAGAAAAGACAGTAAAAACAGAGTGGTGGTGATGTGTAGTGAGGCAAAAAGCAATACTG